CATAAAACTGAATAATGAAGCTTGATTGGGTCCAAAGACTTAGGGAAAGAAAGCGTCCTTATTTTATAATTTCAAATTCAAGGTCTTAACACGCGGGGTATTAGAGTGGAAAGGAAGACTCAAGATACTGCTGACACAAAAGAGAAAACGGACTCAGAAAGAAAAGGATGAGAAAGAAATACGTTCTGTGGTTGCTACTCTGTTTATGAGCCCAATTCTCCAGCCTTCTTATTAAATCTGTGTACTGTCTTGAAGTGCTTTTTCTGTGTGAGCTATTTCAAATTCTTCTTTTTGCTTATATTATTAGCCAGAGTCAGTTTCTGTTGCCTGCAGTTCAGTAACCCTTACTGATTTATAAATAAAGGGGGAAAAAAGGCAATTAAGAGTCAGAAGGAAATAAATAAGATACAGAGAGGAATAGAGATGATGGATAATGCAGTTGGATCCTCTGACTGTCCAGATTTTGAAGAATTCCAGTCTTAGTCTGTGTATATCCTTAGAAATAAGCCCCCACTCCACCTCCACCATTTTTTAATTTAAATAGTCCCTGTTCCTTGTAATTGAGGTGGCAACTATCTTTTGGATTAGTCAAGACTCTTTCAGTTGCAAGTAACAGAAAGACAACTAGTCCATTGGAGCAAAAAGGCCAGGGACCATGCTTCTGGCACAGCTAGATTCAGTTACAATCAGGACTCCAGTTCCTCAACTTTTGGTCTTGCTTTCTTCTGTGTTTGCTTCATTCCCCTGAGTTTCCCCTCTCGATGGCAGAGATGGCCACTGGAAGGTTCAGGCTTATTTTATATTAGTTCATCATCTCAGAAGAAAAAGTTTCTCTTTCCAACAGTTTAAACAAAAGTTCTCTAGTTGATGCTCACTAAAAAATTAGAGTCGAGTTGCTTTCGATCACTGAAATATGATTAGAAAGTTGTGATTGACTGGGCTTGGCCAGATGCCTGCCCTTGAACTAGGCTCAGCCTACACAAACCTACATAAGGAAAGAATGAGAGAGAGAGAGAAAACTCTCCAAGAACCCAAGAGTGGTAGCAATTACCAGTTGCTCTCCATAAGTTTTCTTCAAGTTCTTTCTGGCTAACAAAACACCTGAATATTAGCCAGGACTATAGCCACCCAGAATTAAGACTACATTTCAAAGGGTCTCTTGAAGGTTGAAGGCCAGGTGACGATGTTCTGACCGACTGAATGCAGCTGGAAGTGATGCAGGCAACTTCTAGGAAATGTCCTCGAAGGGACATGCCATGTCTTTCTGTCCTTTTTCCTTATGCATGTCTGGGATGTGGACAGGATAGTTGGAGATGAATAAGTCATCTTGGACTATATGGTGAGTTGGGGATGGAGGAAACATGGCGGACCCTGGGTCCCTAACACCAGAGTCATACTAGGCCTGAGTCACCTTCATCTTCTTTCACATGATAGAAAAGTGAGTGTGATCTGACAAGCCACACAACTCAACATAATCCTACCAGATGCCCCCAAAGAAAAATCCTGGCACTTCTGGGGGAAAAATAGAGGGAGAGCTTAATGCACAGGCATGTCCACTGTCTCCCTCCTGAAAATTTTTATCTAAGTCGTGGTCACTATTCTGGTTGGAAGTTTGAAGAGGGAAATCCGCATGGCTCTGATGTATCTGAATATCCAGAAATTTCAGAGTTTATAAATTCAAAGATAAAAATAATTTAAAAATTAAGCCAAGCACAGAATTAGGAGATATAACTATATCCATGGTTCTTTTCCCCCTACGGGAAAAAAAAGCACTTGTCAGAGTGGATTAATCCACATTTAACCTTGTAATTTTAACAATGAAATGTGGAAATAGCACGTTCACAATGTGGAAAACTGTTAAAAGTACTTATTAGAACTCCTTGCAACATATGTGTTTTGACACTTTTATTAAAAATTTGAGTGAGGAATTAATTAATTGTAATCAAACACAGAGATGACATGATGCCAACAGAGTGGTTCATGCCTTGAGTAATGAGAATCATAGAATTAAGCAACATCAGAACCCCAAGAGGTTTCAGTTTATCCTAATTCCCATTTTAGCTGAGGTTCAGAGAGGTCAACCCACTTGCCCAAGGTACCCCTGGAATCAAGGGTAAAGCGGCTAGCATATCATCTTTCTACTTTTTTTTTTAATAAATGAAAGCTATGTCATGATTCAAGATTCAAGTAGCTTTTTTTTTTTAATTGGAGGAGTGAGCTGATGAGACAAGATACAATTCAATCAGGTCAAATGTGGAAGGACCTACATGTTGGGTCCAAAAAAGCTCACTATGCAAGCACAGTATGGGGTAGATGTGTCTTAATCAGAAGCACTTGTAAGAAACAGAGATGTTACTTGGCTGCAAGCTTGAGCTGGCAGCAGCGTGATGTAGCTACAAGAAAAAGATCATGAGGTCATGGGTGGCATTACTAGAAACAGAGTTTACAGAAGGGAGATGAGAGCTCCATGGAACGTCTCAGTCTGCTGAACTTTTCAATCCATACCTGGAATTCCTCATTCAGTCCCAGGTGTCAGAGTTCGGAAGTGATATAGACAACTTAGTTCCGATGTAGGGTGGAGTTATGTGAGGCATGGTCAAAGGAAGTCAGGGAATTGCAAAACACTCTAATTAAGAGCTCGAATCTTGGAGTCCGACTGCCTGGGTTTCATCCCAGCTCTGTCCATTACTGAGTATGTGTTAGCCTTAGTCTCATTTTCTGTAAGTTAGGAATTATAATAGTACCTATCTCTGAAGATAAATGAGGTAGTGCATGCCAAGTGATTTGCACAAAAGCAGCATTCAATAAATGTTAGGATTAAAGAAGCGACATGATGTGAGGATAATGGTAAAAAATCTCATAGGTTGTGGTGAATATTAAATGAGTTAATACATGCCCAGTGTTTGAAACAAACTTGGAAGTTATTATCTGTAGTAGTAGGATTGTCCTAAGGTTTCTGGGGATGGGTCTGGTTTGGCTACAAAATTTCCCCTAGCTTGGGCTAAGGTCCACGGAGCGTGGTCAAGTTAGCACCTGAAGAAGGTTGCTGAAAAGGGATGTTCAGTTTGGGGAGTGGGTGGTGGTGGTCACTCCGACAGTCTATGGGGGTACTCACTTGATGAACAGCTGGACAGCGTGGCATGGCATTGTTGAGGAGAGACAACTTAGCTGGGTTCTTGTCCACAGTCATTTAGGCCTTTCTGATGCACAGTTCTGATCCACTAGTGTGGTCACTCAGGGTAGTACTGGGTCGGTCACTCAAGCCTGTCTTGGTCATAGTCACTGAGAACTGTCCTGTGGGCAGTCACTTAGGAATCATTCCAAGAAGAATTGCTCCTGGATGAGCCCTGCGCGCCCTCTGTTTCCTCCTCCCTGTGCCGCGGCGTGAAGAAGTCCTGGACCTTAGGGACGCTGTGGGACCTGCTCAGCTCCCCGGGGAGCAGAATGCCGCTAGGGGGCGGCGGCTGAGGGGTATCCGCCCCGCGCGGCGTCCGCTCCTTGGGGCTAGCTGCCCCGCCAGGCTCGGGGAGAGGTGGAGTGACGGTGGGTGGGGGCGCACGCTTCATGGGTGTGAGACAGAGCGAGCCGTTGGGTGTGAGTCAGCGCGCGGCGGGCTGAGGAGCTCCACGAACAGTCACGGAATCTCACTCACACTCCGCTCCTCCACCCATCCCGTCTAGAGCATGTGTCCCAGTGCCGCGCCTGCCTGCGCACAAGGCACGATGGCTGTTTCCCTCTCCGCTGGGTGAAATGGGGGTGGGCGGAAGAGAGAGTGTCCCCCTGGGTGTTTCTATGCCAAGGTTAGGAGATTTCTCCCTCCCCGCCCCATGTGGGGTGTGTCCCGCCCAGGTACGTGTGTACCTGTGTTTGCGTGCGTGCATGTGTCCGTGTGGTGGGACCGCTTATCAATGCAGGGTGCTTGTGCCTGCGCCTGGGTCTATGTCTGGGTCTGGATGGCGCAATCTCGACCCGGGCTCCCACCCCTGGGTGTCGGGAGGCCGTTGTGGCCGGGGTGTCCAGGCTTCTAGAGGAGCAAACGCCTCGACACCCTCCCATCATCACCCAAATCGGCCGGGGCTCCTTAGGGAGCG